TTGGGGGGGGCAGAGCTGGGGGTTGGGAGGATGTTCGTTTGTGGGGGGGCAGAGCTGGGAGGTTGGGGGATATTTGTGGGGGGCAGAGCTGGGAGGTCGGGGGGATGTTCGGTTGGGGGGGGCAGAGCTGGGGGTTGGGAGGATGTTCGTTTGTGGGGGGGCAGAGCTGGGGGGGTCCAGGGGATGTTCGGTGGGGGGGGGCAGAGCTGGGGGTCGGGGGGATGTTCGGTGGGGGGGCAGAGCCGGGACTTTGGGGGGGATGTTCGGCGGGGGGGGAGGGTCCATGTTGAGCTCTGGCCCTGCGGGAGCTTGGGGGGCTGGGGCTGGAGCTTTGGGAATGTCTGGAGTGGGTTGGGGGTGTAACAATCTGCTCTCTGGCAAAATTTCCTACCTCGGTTGTACTGAGCATGCTCAGTCACCTCTGCTGACGCCACGGCCCCCACCCTGCCCTTCTCCCTGCCCTTCCTTGCCATCAGAGTCTGGCTGCTTTCTACAGGGGTTAGAAAGGGGCAAATTGGAGCAGGGGGGTGGCCAGGGTCTGAGCAGGGGCAGGAAATTGACAGGCTGAAGCAGGTGGAGGCAGGGTTAGGATGGGGGCTGAGGAGCAAAAGTTGGGGGGGGGGGCGTTGAATTGACATTAAGCTCAAGACTGAGGCGCAAAACCCCTGGCCCAGGCAGGCAGGGCCGGCTTTAGCAAGAGCGGGGCCCGATTCCTGGGGGGTGTGGTTTGCTGCAAGCCCCGCCCCCAGGAATCGGGCTGTGCGCCGGCCGGAGCTCCAGCCGGGGTAGTGGGGCTTGGGTCTGGCCCGGAGCCGCTGGGCCGGAACGGAGCCGAGCGGAGCGGGCTGGGCTGGCGCGCTCGGCCAGAACCAGGGCCGGCGCCCCGGGGCCAGAGCTGCTGGGGCCGGAGGTGCTCGGCCGGGGCCGGACTGGGCCGCGCCGCGCCTCCCCGGAGCGCTTCTCACATCCCCCTCCCACACCCCTGACTCAGCTTACCTGCTGCTGCGTGCCCTCCCCTGCTTCTTTTCAGACTTCCCACGAACCTCTGATTTGCGGGAAGCAGGGGTGGGGGAGGAGCAGGGGGCGGAGCGTTCAGGGGTGGGGAGGAGGGGGAAATGAGCTGGGGGGGGTGGAGAGCTGCGGCGCGGGGCCCTCTTGGCGCGGGGCCCAATTCAGCTGAATTGGCCTAAAGCCAGCCCTGCTCTGGAGCAGGGGGTCATCAACAATTTTTTTGGTGGCGTCAGAGTGCGGCCACCAACTCTTGCTGGTGGCCACTCTGACAATTTTCCCAAGCCGGAGCCCCACTGCCCCGGGGGTTGTAGCCTGAAGCCCAGAGCCCACTGCTGAAGTCCTGTGGCTGGAGCTGGGGAGGGGCGGAGGTGGGTAGGCTGATGCCCAGAGCCCCCGGGGCTGATGCGAGGGTGGGGGGGCACTGAAGCCCCAAGCCCACTCCTGGAGCCCTGGCAAGCTGAAGCCCTGGCAAGCTGAAGCCCAAAGTCTTCCCCCAGAGCCTCTCAGCCCCTGGTAGGTGAGTTGGGACCTCACCAGCTGCCTGCGGAGTTGAAGGTTCCTACCCCATCAAGAACACCCCAGCCCCACATGCCTGCAGATGTGCTGCCTGGAGCCCCCAGGAGGCTGGGCGGTACATGATGCCGATCCCCTGCTGCTAGCGCCAGCAAACACCCAGGCAGTGCATCCTGGAGCAACAGCTGGATGCTGCAGAGAGGGGCTGCTGCTTCCCCCCCGACCTGCATCTCTGCCCAGGAGTCTGTCCTGGCTGCAGGAAAAGCCCCTGGTGGCTGAAGTTGAGAAATGCTGCTCTAGATTCACAATGCAGGGCCCCAGTGGGGCAGAGGCTGGGGCAGGGCAGCAGCCTGGGTTGGGCTGGGAAGATGCTGGAAGTTCTGGTGCCCAGAGAACCGGCCTGACTCTCTTCTCAGCAACCAAGAAGTCAATTCCATGTAGCTGGAGTTGCATAACTTAGGTCGACTTAGCCCCGTAGTGTAGACCTGCCCTTAGGCTGTCTACACTTAAAACACGGCTGTAGCACTTTGGAGTAGACATTCGCTACGGTGATTGGAGCGGTTTTCCCATCGCTGTAGTAGCCAGATTGACAGAAGACTTCTTCCATCCACCCAGCACTATTCATGCCAGGGCTTAGGTCAGCTGAACTACATTGGTTAGGCGGGTGGCTTTTCACACCCGGAGAGACGTCCCTATGCCAGTTCAGTGTCCAGCGTACATCAGCCCTTAGATCTCTCTTAGTATTTCAGTGCAATGACCTGTGAGAGAAAAACATCAATTCACAAACACAGAGACTGAATTCCCACATTAAATCTTGCTGCATTTTCCAGAAAGTCACAACATTCAATTCATTCTTGCTAGGAGAGAGACACATGAAGTGACACTGATTTTTAGTAAATAAAGTGATGGGTTTAATTAATATAGGAAAAATTAGGGCTGTCGATGAATCACAGTTAACTCAAATCAACGATCGTAAATTCAAATCTACGCTCATAAGCAAAACTCCCACCCCCGAGTACGCCGGGCAGTGTCCTGCGCCTCAGTTTCTCACCTTGCGGGGTGACAGGTCAATCCAATGTTCCTTTAACAGACCCCTCTGCTCTCCTTCCACCGAACCCCCACTCTCCTTGGGCAGTGAAGACCCCAGAGGTGAGGGAGGGAGGGGAAGGCATCGAGCGATACCTCAGCTTCTGCTGCTGACGCTCCCTCACCCGGCTCTCGGTTTGCCCTGTTCACTACTGCACTGTTCACTGTTCACTACTGCACTGTTCACTCCTGTGTCGCCACTTCCTCTGCTGCCACCTGCCTGTCTCCTGCAGCCTCTGCGCGGCCACGTAGTGGGGGAACCTCCCTACAAGTGCAGACTGGGCAGCCTCTTTCATTGCAACACCATGGGCGGGGCGCGAACCGCCAGCTGGGGGAGATGAACCCCCTGCCCTGCCCCGCCCCCTGTGCCCGAGGCCCCGCCCCTTCCACTAACCCCGCTAGAACCCAGAGCCCCACCCCACTGCAGCGGCCAGCTCCCGCCCCAGGCTAGTGCCCGGCCCCCATTGCACCCCCAGCCTCAGCTTACCCAGCCCCGGAGCACCGGGAGGGCGGGTTACGCGGCCCTGACACCACCTGCCATTGACTCCCATGGCTCTGCGCTGCGTCTGCCGGGGCGGGCCAGGCTGCGGACATGACCCAGGCGTGGGCAGCATGGCTGCGCTTCCCTGACCAGGCAGGAGGCAGGCCAAGAGCTTTGTGCAGCCAACAGGGAGGGAGGCGTCTTTGAGCCGGCGTGTCTCGGCCATTTCTCCCTTGGGCGGAGGCGGGAAGGGAGCGAAATGTGCCCGGCTGAAGGTTTTGCGCTCGGCCTTGAGGGTTAAGCCCAAGCCCCCGGCATGGCTGCTGGGAGACGGGTTTCTGAGCTGCATCCAGTGCACTCTTCAGGCCAGCAACTGAAACCACTGAGGCCAAGAGGGACATTTTTGAGGCAGCAAAGGGGGCTTTTGAGGCTCCCAGCAGGTTCTGAGGAGCAAAGAAGTAACACAGGGTTATCACCGCCCCTGGGTGGGCTCGAACCACCAACCTTTCAGTTAACAGCCAAACATGCTGACCCATTGCACCACAGAGACGCACGTCTGCTCTTACCAAGGCTGCTGCCGAGCAGCCTGCGCATCCGGAGCAGAGTGTTGGGGTGCGGGAGGGAGTTGGGTGCAGGCTCTGGGGGGGAGTTGGGTGCAGGAGTGGGCTCCGGGCCGGAGCAGAGTGTTGGGGTGTGGGAGGGAGTCGAGGGGTGCGAGGCTCTGGGGGGGAGTTGGGTGCAGGAGTGGGCTCCGGGCCGGAGCAGAGTGTTGGGGTGTGGGAGGGAGTGAGGGGTGCAGGCTCTGGGGGGGAGTTTTGGTGCAGGAGGGGGCTCTGGGCTGGTTCAGAAGATTGGGGTGCGGGATGGGATGAGGGGTGTAGGCTCGGGGGGGGATTTGGTGCAGGATGGGATGAGGGGTGTAGGCTCTGGGGGGGATTTTGGTGCAGGATGGGATGAGGGGTGTAGGCTCTGGGGGGTATTACGGTGCAGGAGGGAGCTCTGGGCTGGGGCAGAGTGTTGGGGTGCAAGAAGGAGTGAGGGGTGCAGGCTCGGGGAGGGGATTTGGGTGCAGGAGGAGTTGAGGGGTGCAGGCTCTGGGGGGGATTTGGGTGCAGGAGGGGTTGAGGGGTGCAGGCTCTGCGGGGAGATTTGGGTGCAGGAGGGGTTGAGGGGTGCAGGCTCAGGGGGGATTTGGGTGCAGGAGGAGGCTCTAGGCTTGGGCAGAATGTTGGGGTGTGGGAGGGGGTGTGGGGTCTGGGAGGGAGCTCTGGGCTGGGGGTTGGGGTGCAGACTCCAGCTGAGAGGCGCTCACCACAAGTGGCTCCCAGTCGGTAGCTGGCTGCTGGCATGTCTGTGCGTGTAGCTCCTGGGAGAGAGGGGGGCAGCGGGTCTCCGTGCGCTGCCTGCACCTGCAAGCGCCGCCCCTAAAGCTCCCATTGGCTGGGAACCAGCCAATGGGAGCTGCGGGGACAGTGCTGGGGGCGGGGGCAGCGCATGGAGCTGCCTTACTCCCCCCTCCCTTTCCCCAGGGGCCGCAGAAACATGCCAGCAGCCAGACGCTTCTGGGGGTGGCGTGGGGCCACCCCCATTGATCTGATGTCCCGATTTTATAGGGACAGTCCCGATTTGGGGGGCTTTTTCTTACATAGGCACCTATTACCCCCCACCCTCTGTCCCGATTTCTTACACTTGCTTATCTGGTCACCCTACCCAGGGGATGTTGTGTTGGGGTTGGGGAACCAGGTCGGCTGTGGGTGCCGGCTCCCGAGGGGAGACTGGCCTGCCCCCTGTGGCTGTCTGTGGCTACACGGCTGCCCACGGGGGTCCTGGCCGCGGACAGGTTTGGTAGAGGTGTCTCTCGGCATAGCTTATTTGTAACACTGAGCAGAGGTTACAGCAGGAGGTTTTGGATGGGCCATGGAGATAATGGATTTTGTAGGAATTGTCTAGTCATTTTAACTCTTTCACTGCCTCTAACCTGACAGGAAATTCAGTCGTCCTCAGGGCCTCGTATTTATTAGGAAGGAGGGAGAGTAGAATCCTGTTATAAACCCAGCATACACGGCTTCACCTTCCCGGGTCTGACCTCGGAGCATTCAGCCTATGCCCCTCCGTGCACTTCCCACAGCAAGTCCGCCCAGGCGGGGTCCTGGGGCAGCCAGAGGGTCCTGCCTCCCAACTCCGCAGCCAGACGTGACTCTCAACCAGCTGGGAAAACAGAGGTTTATTAGATGACAGGAACATGGTCTAAAACAGAGCTTGTAGGTATAGAGAACTGGATCCCTCTGCCGGGTCCATTCTGGGGCCCAGCAAGCTAGACACCCACGTCTGCACTCGCTCCCCGTCCCCAGCCAGCCCCAAACTGAAACCCCCTCCAGCCCTTCCTTTCTGGCCTTTGTCTCTTTCCCGGGCCAGGAGGTCACCTGATCTCTTTGTTCACCTTTAGCTATCCCCTTGCAGGGGGGAAGGGCCCCAGCCATTTGTTGCCAGGATACAGGGTGTCGGCCATTTATGCACACTGGAGACTTAAGAAATGCATAGGGGAAACTGAGGCACCCACACAGGATTCAGAGGAAATATTAAGAACAGTCCCACTTCGTCACAGTGCTCCTGTACTTAGCAGGGCGTGATTGCACATGCTAAAGGCTGTGTGGCCAGGCCAGGAGTGGATGTCCTGACAGCAGAGCAGTGTCAAAGGCGCACCAGGCTAGAGAACTAAGGGGCCATGGCAGTTCAACAGCCCTGACCGGATTGTACCCTGGGGATGTCCTGGTGGCGCAGCCATTAGCTGGGTGTTCGCACAGCTTGTTCTTCGGAGTGAAGTTTGCACTTGAAGCGCTGGTGGAGTGATTTGAAGTGACGCTCAAGAGTGGTGGCTGAAAACAGTCCGAGAGGTTAGAGTTTTATTCTTTTCTGTTGGCTTCTTTTGGGAGAGGGACATAGAAACAGAAAAACAGAAAAATGAGCGATGTTTTGCAGAAATCATAGCCAGAGAGTGGGATCCTGGGCAGGCCGGGCTGGCAGAGCCCAGGGGGATCCGGGGCTGGCGGGGCCCAGGGGGATCTGGGGCTGGCGGGGCCCAGGGGGATCCGGGGCAGGCCGGGCTGGCGTGGTACAGGGGTATCCCATTCACCCTGCAGTGTCCACCAGTGCTCATGGGCTCGCGGCTTTGACACCCCCACAGTCCTGGGACAGGCCCAGATCTGGCCCTAATGGGGCTGCTCATGACCCTGTCGGCCTGGACCGGCCCCACCCCGCCCCACGCAGGGCCCGAGGGCCCGTCCTGCACTGCCCAGCCCCGCTGGTTCACCGGGTGTTTGGCTGGTGGTTGGGTCGTTGCTAGATCCCTCCCCGTGGTCTGGGGTAGGCTGCTCTCCCCGGGATGGGTGGGGGACCCTGCACACCCAGGGGCAGTTTTACAACCCTGGGGCCCGTGGGCTGAGGCTGGAGAAACTGGCGGAGGGACGGTGCTGGGGCTTGTCTGAGTGTAGGTGGGAAAATTTCCCACCCAAGGCGCTTTAGAGCTGAGGGAAGCGATGCAAAATGTCCCAGCAGAATGCGCCTGGGTGCAGAGCTGTGTGTCCTGGCAAGATGAGGGCACCCAGCAGGGGCTCCTCACATCTCCCTGTTCTCCCCCAAGCTCCATGGGTGCCCCAGCCCCTCTACTTCGGGTCCCCTGCATCTCCCCCCAATCTCTTTCCTGCCAGGGTCTCCATGTGCCTCCCACTGTCCTCTCCCCAGACCAGGGTCCCCAACTCACCCTCATGCCAGGGGCTGTGTGCACCTCTGTTCCCACTTTGCCCCATGCCCGGGGGTGACACCTCCCCGGGGTGCCCAGAGCCGGCACCTGCCCCTTAGCGGGAGGGTCTGTGCCAGCCAGGGGCAGCTCCCTGGCTCTGCCAGGCACGGGCGACACAAACCCTCCCCTCTCGGCCATACGGATACCGCTGTCCCTCTGTGGGAGGGCAGAAGCCAGGTCTGGTCGGCAGGGGACAGATCACTCGATAATTGCCCTGGTCTGTCCATTCCCCCCGGCCATCTGGCCCTGGCTGCTGTCAGAGACAGGCCATTGGCCTGTGGGTCTGACCTGGCCTGGCCGTTCTTCTGGAGCAACCGGCACACGCAAACCGCCGAGTGTCCCCCTGCAGTGCCCCGGCCCTGGCTCCACGGCACACGCTGCATCCACAGACCTGCTGCTGGCAGAGGGACGGGGCCCCCAGCTCCCCCCGGTCCCTCTCGATTCACGCCCCCCAGACGCTCTGCAGCAGTGTGGGTTACATTGAAATCCAGGGGCAGTTTATTTCACAGCGATTTGGGACGTCCCAAGGAAAAGTGCTGGAAGCCAATGGCTCCCTGGGAACTAACCCCAGAGCCCCCTGGGAGAGCCGAGAGCCAGCGAGGAGGACACGTTCCTGACTAAGGATGTTTCCCACCCGCAGCCTTTGCAGCGATGTCCAGCCAGGCTGGCTGGGAGCCTCCTTCCAAAGAGAGGCCCAGCTGAGGTTTGTCTCCTCGGGGAAGGACCAGGGTGTGTCTCAGTCCCCTCGTGACACCCCGACCCCATTGTCCGTCCCCTAAACAGGACACCCCACCCACCCCCTGCGGGTTTTGTTTCTTCCTGGAGCTTTTCCGTGTGACTTGACACCCCCGGCTCAGCATCAGGCTCAGCAAGGCAAATAGGCCCCATTGAGAGCCCGAAAATGCCCCCAGCCCCCGAACACAGCGACTCGTTCTGCATTGGCGGGAAAGTGTTTTATTGCAGGAAGCAGCAAGAAAACAAATCTCAGTGACAGCTTCTGACCCCCCCGCCCCGCGACAATCTTCTCCCCACAACCTGCCCCCGGTACCCCATGGATGTGGAGGGAGGGGGCGGCTGTACTGTATGGTGGGCACCAGGCTCAGGCTGAGGGTCTCAGTGCCAGCTGGGGGGCTGGGCACCCGGATTTTCACTCATGTGGATGGGAACTGGGTGCCCAGGGTGGGAAATCCACCCCCCAGGTCCCAAGCTGCCGGCCTGTGGGATAAGGGGAGCCGCTGAATGTCCCTGTGAAGATGCTTAGCGGGCGCTGCCCAGTGGGGCAGGGATGGGGCAGGAGAGCCCCCAGAGACAGGGGGCGGCCCAGGAGCCAAAGTGGGGGTAGGGGACCCCCTGCTCCCAGATCATGGCCAGCGCCTGGGCTCTACAGGGCTGTGTCGAAGCACACGGGCCTTCCCTGGCCTCAGGTCACAGGGATCCGGCTGCTCTGGGCTCTGCCTCGGGACGTGGGGCTGGATGAGGGTGTGGGGGGGGGTTTGCAGAAAGGGCCAGTCAGGTTCTGGCACCGCATCTGGTCATTGGTGGTGCTGGTCTTGGGGAAATCGACACGTTCTCTCACGAACCGCTTGTAGGTGTCACGTGGTCTGAAATGGGCCAGGCCGGCGGCCAGCAGGACAGGGGTCAGGAAGAGCCAGGGGCAGGGTCCCCTCGGGGCCAGGGCTGTGTCTGTCACTGGATCCACCTGCAGTGGGGAGAGGGGGGAGATGGTGGAGACAGCGCGGGGTGGGGATCTG